AGCCACTATATCGATTTATAAACAGCTAAAATGTAAAATAATTAATTTGATATTCAATACAAAACATTTAAATCCCAAAAATGAATGGTACAAATTAATTTGTAACTTCTACTCCGTAAAGAATTACATTTAGATTGTAAGTCAGCAAAGATTTTAATATAAATACCTCCCACTTCGATTTAGTTGGAAATTATTTGATTAATTAGTAACTTTAACGAGTAAGCTTCAATAGGATTCCATTTGAAAACAACTTTGTTACAATCTCCGAGAATTTCACCTTACATTTTCTTTTGCTGCTAAAATATTACGCACTTTTATTAAAACAAGGTTGAAATACATAATCCTGAAATCTCTTCAATTCTTAATCCTTTTAAGGAGTACAGAGGTACGTAGGAAAGGTTTGAACTTTTATAAATATCAAATTAGATGAAACATTTTCTTGGTATTTTTACAGGAGGTAAAGTGATGTTCGTTATTTTTTTTCCTTGGAAATTAATTCCTTCTGAAATATTATTATTCTCTTCTGTTATTTTGTATTCAGAGAATTCTGTTTCGTTTTATGTACAAATTACTTTGAGCGAAGCATAATGTACTGTTGAGTAAGTACATACTTTTAATTATACAGCTCCTTCATGCGTGCCACTGATTCGTTTATTTTATCTAATATTGGATAATACATTCTGGGTGCTTATTCCTGAAATCAATCTCAATATGTCAATGCAATTTAAATCCAATAAAATCTCAATAATTATGCAATGTCAAAAGTATACAACCCGTATCGTACCTGTTACAGTAGAATTCAGAACACGGAATATATAGCTAAACTCAATAGTATTTACTTAATGAAAAAACCATGCAATACGGATGCAATAGGCGCTAGTATTGCAACTAAAGAGTACGAAATTTCACAATGTCAATGTCGATCGATCGGAATTGGATTCAAGAGTAAGCCCCTGAATACTGCACAAAGCACAACTAACAATCAACTAACACACAATGTACATTGTACACCTAACTAATTTACCTTCCCAAGGGATTAACAAAGAAAAACAAACATCTAAACCAATATGACCATTCAGCCGTTCAATATGAGAAGTAGGCAACAGACCACAAACTTAGTTTCCCAATTTTGAAGAGGAAAAATCGGAATAGAACTTTCCCGAACTGAACTTCGAGTTCAGTAGTAATAAATAAGTCAACTCACATAAATCCAATTCGCTGATTCATCTGTTGGCTGGCAAAAGTTATAAATGTGAACCAATGACAATTTGCTGATGCAGAATAACTGAGATATATGTAGAAGTAATACTTATCCTAATACGGAAATGTTTTTGGTAGCGAATTTTAGTTCTCAGTGTTTTTCTATCGTTATTTCTTTTGTTTTCATTGATAGGTAGCCACAATCCATTAGTATTAGAAAATTAAAAGTTTTTTGAATCGGATTAACGATTGTGAAGTCAAAGTTTTAGGTTATTGATATTTAATTTTAGAAATGACTGCCTCGTTGGTCGATTTGGCGCAAGTGCGACTGCTGGACAAGAGTCTCGGACTCGATTCCCGAGTCGGGTACAGTATTATTGGGTTTTTAAGAAAATCTCAGTAGTAAAGAGTAAGAGTAAGAGTCTGGAATTGTGCCCGGTATATGGCAATAGGCTCACCCCGTTTAACATGAGACTCAGAACATAAATAGTGAAAAGTGGGTGTTACATTGTTCAGTGGCTTTAAGTGCCGTAATGGGCACCACTGCCTACTTCGTCGGGGATAAAAGAAATATAGAAATATATTAGAAATTTCACAAAAAACGTTCATGCTTTTCCATTTTCCAAATTCTAGCTTCTTGGCTCGACATTATACTGAAGGAAGTAACGTAAATAAATGTCGGGTACAGTAATTTCTCATTTGCGCAGCTCTTCAAAAAAGAATAAGCTTAGACATGGTAATCTCAATTATCGGAATATCACATTCACAAATAACACAGACGTTCACTCAAATCGATTTACTATTCTCATAGAGTGTAACGCAATATACGTCTCAGCTATCCTCTATCTAAGTACTTGTCAAATGTATCATATCAGAGTGTTATAAGTCATGAGTAGACAACAAGACAAACGGCCCGTTGCTCCGGCGTCCGGTCATCGTCCGGCCGTCGTCCGACCGTCGCGTCGTCCGGCAATGCGACGGAGACAAAGCGATATCTCCTATAATATTTTAACTTTATGCTTCCAAGATTTGCGTACCCCTTGAGGCATGCGGTGGAACTTATCGTTTGTTCGAGGATCAACGTGACAAATGACGTCATTTGATATTGAATTTTCGATAAAGGTACATCTTTTTAGGCTGACGCGACCGACGTGGCGTTCTACTGGTTTCCTTATCTCCTTGCTTTTACCTCTTTTAGAGAAAAGAAGGATAAGGTAATAAACGAAACAGGATAATAAACAGTAAATAGAGATATAGGCATTTTTTTTCATTCGATTCATTTGATGATTTTCCCCTCTTAAAAAAAAGGCATTTTTTTCATTACGTAACATACATAACATCACGCCTTTTATCCCCGAAGGGGTAGACAGAGGTGCGCATTATACCACTGTACCTACAATGTAACACCCACATTTCACTATTTATGTTGTGAGTCCCATGTAATAGAGGGTGAGCCTATTGCCATATACCGGGCTGGACCGGGCACAATTCCAGACTCCGTGCTACTACTGAGAATTTTTTAAAACTTAATATTACTTTGCCCGACCCGGGAATCGAACCCGAGACCCCCTGCCCGGCAGTCGCACTTGCGACCACTCGGCCAGCGAGGCAGCGAGCAGTTTTTCATAACATTTGTAATAGTTTATTTTTTGTTGAGGTTCCTTATTGTTGTGTAAGTATACACTCAAACTGTTTTGTTATCTGCAGAAATTAGGTGCTCTGGTTAGGTTCTCGAGCTGTACATGAAAATGCGTTTTATGGTTTTTAAAATTGTTTTGAATATTTAAATTGTAACTATACCTATCTCTGAGTCGAGAAAATAAACAAAATGACTGTAAAATCTGAATAATAACACGTTTTTGGAATCCTGACCCTAGAATTCAAATTTTCGCTTATCAAAAACTCGTTCATCAAATATTTCATTTCCTTGTGTTCAGTATTCCACTATTAATAGATTCTTTTCAGTTCAGAATGGCAACAGTTAACAATAATAGTCCATTATTTATGAAATATTTTGTACAGAATCCAGTCAATGAAAAAGGAATGAATGAATTGACTGCCTCGTTGGGCGAATGGTCGCAAGTGCGACCGCAGTGCCCGGCAAGGGGTCTCGGGTTCAATTCCCGGGTCGAGCAAAGTATTACTGTTTTAAAAAAAATCTCAGTAGTAGTACAGAGTCTGGAATTGTGCCTGGTATATAGCAATAGGCTCACCCCCTATTACATGAGACTCATAAAATAAATAGTAAAAAGTGGGTGTTACATTGTACAGTGGCATAATGTGCACCTCTGTCTACCCATTCGGGGATAAAAGGCGTGATGTTATTACGTGAATGAATGAATGTGAATAAAAACGAAATACCTATTCGTTTTTCGCGAGTGAAAAATCAACGATAATATATGTTTTTCTGTGTTGTGGATGAGTTTTGAAATATACAATTTAACACGCACATAACAACTAGATTCAGATAGACAGTTTGTATAACACAAAAGGAATTGTTCAATGCAGGGATTAAATCTACAGCACGTTCCCTAGCACTTTTACCCTCACCAGCGAATCCAAACAGAACAAATAAATAACAACAGACTATACAACCACAACACAACTAAACACAATCCACTTTAAAAAGTATTCCAATATTCAATCATAAATTAAACCTTTGTTTTTGATATTAAATTTGTTCCTAACATTGTTTTCCGATAAAATCATTTCATTATTCAGTTTAATTAACATACTCCGGCCAGTTTACATCCATGTAATAAATTCAGCGTAACAAAATTGAAAAGCCTTTGTTCCATCGTGTAAACAGGGTTGTAGTATGAAATAATTAACGATATACCTTTACTAAAATCATGGTTTGAACGATATTGGATGCACTAAATACATATACCTACTTGTATTGTTCGTGTAGTAAGTTTGTTAATATTCATGGTCTGCCATTGTGTTTATTATTGAATTACTTTGCTAATAAAGTGACTTACTTATCTTGTTTTACTTATAGGACGTAAAAGGATGCCCGGGCTTCGGCTCAAAGTGCAGAAGTAGGAACAGGGTGGTTTTTAGTCTGTAGGTATAATCGTAAAGAGACATTGTAAAACAGACTTGTTTTAATAGAGTAACGAATGGAGATTCTTGCTCGTTCTTCTCCATTCAAATCTACATTTTGGAATGAGCACCTAGCTTCACTGACGGACTGACTGACAGATTATTATTTAATTTGTATTTGTTGACGTTTCAAAAGTACCAAATTATGGTTTAATTTAAATAAATGCTTTGACTTTGACTTTAAAAGTCTGACACTATCTCCCGCCTCACCAAAACGACGTCAAGACATTGGATAAATATCCCCACTTAAAAAAAACTTATCCAGTTTTAAAATTACCTTTAGTAGTAGGATTCTCTACCTAGTTCTTAACTAAATATAAGTCAAGGTCGCCTGAGAGACAAAACATTACATTTTTACAGAATGAAGTTTGATTTGTTTGTTTACTACGTTTTTATGTTGTTGACAAATACTGTAATAATAAAGCATACCCGGTTCGATCATTCTTCGGGGAAATTACACAATACTATGTTTTATTACGTTACCGTCCTATGTTAGTGTTAGTCAGTTATTCAAAATTGCTAATCAATTTAAAGGTCACAAGGAGCATAATATCACGATTTCTGAAATATTCCTTATGGCTCTCAAAAACACCAAAGTATAAGACTAATTGTTATCCAAAAAGCAACCTAAAGTGTATGAGTACTTGTGATATTATAAGATGGCCCCTAACTCAACAGGATTCATTCTTCAACAGGAACCAGCTCTCCACAGACGGTGTCACCATCTCAGCGCCCTCCGAAGCCGGTCGTTGGTCTCTCTGGGCCCTCTCCCTCTCAAACCATGGCCTTCGATTCTCTGCACCTCGGACAATCAACGTCTTCCGCCCTATCCAGCTGGACTTCTCCCTACCACCAGCTCTGAAAGTCGGAGAGACTGTGGAAGTCGATGTCAAGATAACTAACAACATCAATAACTGTATGGATGTAAGTATACATTTAGTTATTTATATCAGAAACGGGTTAATTAATTTACACGTTTTTGAATGTTAGTAATTTTTATTCATTACAATGACTGCCTCCTCCATCCATGTCATAACCGTAACTGTTTATAGTAGATCATTTTGTTTCGGACAGTCAGGATTCAGTGAACTCATTATTTAGGTACAAATTCTAACAAAGATGCCTGATAGCCTAGTGTTAAACGATAGCGAGCGTTTTTTTTTTTATATACCTCGACGGTGGCAAAAGCGTGTTTCCCTTACCTATAAACTAACCAAAAATAAACTTATTCATTGAGTTATGTAACAAACCAGTCGAAGATATCTAAAAAGAAGCTCTGCCAACAGTCTGTAATACAGACAAAACAACTCCATTTATTTTAGCCAAATATATCCTCGTTTTACCCAATTGATTCGATAGCTGGATGGGCAGGTTCAGCCAAATCGATTGTAAATACGCACTCACACGGAACAGGCCGTATCCCGCTAAGCTAGGGTTTAAGTTCAATTGTATTAGGTTCATCAGCTTCACACGACTTAATTTAGATAAATTAGAAGAAGGTGGATTGGGAAACAATTGGCTTTCTTAGTTAAGTGTAATTAGATATCGCTCGGTTGTAATTGGGTAGTGTCTGTTTTCTAATTGTAATTTATTGGTGACTAAATCTTTAATTGTGTTATTTAATAAAAATAGTCTTATTAGAGAAAGGTGTGCATTGAAAGATGATGTAGTGACAAGGATTGAAAAGGGAATGTTACGCTGGTTTCGACATGTAGAAAGGATGGATGAAAGTAGAGTAACGAAAGAAGTATACAGAGCGGATATGAATGGGGCCGTCGGTAGAGGGCGCCCTAGACGGACATATAGTGACGATAGTGGACGATAGATTGGCGATAGTGGACGATAGATGGCGGCCAAATTAAAAGAACCCTTAACCGACGACCATGCATGAAAATATTGATGACTGTTAATGAAGCGAAAGAGGTATGTAAGAATCGTAGTAATTGACGTTCCTTAGTCTCTGCCTACCCCCATGGGAGACAGGCGTGAAGTTATGTATAGTTTTGTATGTATGTATGTAAATCTTTAATTGGGTGTCAAATACAAAAACGGAGGACGATGGTATAAATACTATTTTTTTATAAATCTGTGACGTATGATGTCTGTTTTGTTAATTAAGTGGTGTCTAACTAAACTGTCCCCAATCCTCAATTCTCAAAATTCTAAAAAGCCGGTAACTCACTTGTAACTCTACTGGTGTTCCTGGTGTACCTGACAATTGCTTACGGTCACGTGGTCCATCTTCTCGTTTACCGTCATATGCAATAAAAAAACTTAACATTGAATTTAGTTCCGTTATCAACATAACATAACATCACGACTTTTATCCCCGCAGGGGTAGGCAGAGATGTACATTACGGCACTTAATGCTACTGTACAATGTAACACCCACTTTTCACTATTTAAGTTATGAGTCCCATGTAATAGGGGTGAGCCTATTGCCATATACTGGGTGTTCGTTCGGATGATTCGTTTTATATTTTCTTAAATTAAAACATCCTGACCTTAATGCCTCAGACAAAGCGTCTTGTATGTATATTAATTGCTGTGAATCATTTGATCCAGTAATTAAATCGTCGACATAAAAGTCCTTTTGAATGATGGTGCGAATTAGTTCATCATTCTGTTCTTGACCTATCTGCCACAAGCAACGTGTGCTAAGGTAGTTTGCACTCGCTGTACCGTAAGTTACAGTGTTAAGTTGAAGTGTTTGCATTGGTTTAGACGCCTCGTCTCTCCACAGAATGAGCTGCAAATGTCTGTCATCTTTGTGTACGAGCACATTTCGATAGAATTTTTCTATATCACCCGTAAGTAGGTATTTGTATTGTCGGGAGCGTAACAAGATGGAGAAAAGAGTATCTTGTACTGTGGGGCCTACCATTAATAGATCATTAAGGGAACAACCAGAGGAGGATTGAGCAGACCCATCAAACACTACACGAAGTTTTGTGGATTCACTCTCCTCCTTTAAAACTGCGTGATGGCATAAATAATAGGTAGGAATTAATATTTCATTATTTAACAAAGATAGATGACCTAGGTCGGCGTATTCCTTAATAAATTTATTGTATTCTATTTTTAATATATTATTACGCTTAAATCTCTTCTCTATATTTAGGAATCGCCGTTTAGCTAGCTTGTAGGTATCACCTAAACAATCAGCTGTATCCTTAAGGGGTAGCCTTACACAAAATCTACCTGTCTTAGATCTCGTGGTATGAGTTATGAAATGTTTCTCACAATAAATTTCACTTTCACTCATAATAGATTTTTTGGGCACTTCTTCTAATTCCCAAAATCTACGTAGCATTTTTTCAATAACCTCATGATCATCGTTGACTTTAGAAACTAGGCTATGGTTACAATATACACCTTGATGTGAGGTTGTTGAGTTAATGGGACCGGATACTATCCAACCTAAGTGCGAACTTCGTAACTTAGGTTTATTGGTTCCCAAAGAAATCTGTTCGTTCCCCAGAATATCCCAAAAAATGTCGGCGCCTATCAATACATCTATGTCGGCAGGCTGATTGAACATAGGATCAGCCAATTGGACATTTTCTGGTAATTTTAAGGCACTAATATCGACGGGAACTCTAGGTAAACGACCAGTCAGTTCCTTTAAAACGAAACATGAACAATTTATATTAAATTTACTATTTAATGATTGCAATATAATGTTGCAGCTTTCAGTGACATCATTTGCTTGGGTGTTGCCTATACCAATGACCTTTAGCGAGTCAATATGATGGGACTTTAAGCATAACCTTATCTTTAGGGATTCGGTTACAAAAGAAGACTGACTGCCACAGTCTAATAACGCACGAACTTTGACCTTTTGCTGTCCAAATGGATTCGATACTTCGACCATGGCAGTAGATAATAAAAGATAACTTGTGTTTTTATTGCAATAACCAGATACTATTTCATCTGATTCCTTAAATTGTGCAGTTTGAGTTGTTAATGTTGAAGGACGGTGTAGCAAGCTATTATGCCTTTCGTTGCATTCAGGTTCTTGACATGACCTAAAGCGACAATTATTAACAGTATGACCTTGTCTCAGGCAGTTAATGCACAATTTATACCTTGTCACGTCTGACATTCGCTCATCAATGCCCTTAGCCTTGAAGACCGAACAATCGTAGATACGATGGCAGCCGTCACAAACAATGCATGTGAAACCCTTTGGTTCCTTATGCTTAACATTACTACTAGAGCTTGCAAAAGACTTAATAGTATTACTTGGCGTCTTATTTTGACTATGTTTATGTGTTTCGTTATTGTTGGGAATAGAACGCTGAGACGTAGTCGTTCTAGAGCCCATGATATTATCAACGTGATTATTATTTCGATGTGCTGACTCGAGTACATTAGCACGATCGGTAATGAATTTAAAGAAATGCTCTAATTTCGGTCTTCCGCTTACATTACTGGTACGATACTCTTCCCATTTTAATAAAGTATGACCATCCAACTTTGCTGATAAAATGAATATAATCAAGACATCCCAATTATCCGTTGGCTGACCTAAACTAACCAACGCACGTAAATTCTTAGTGATGTGGTCGACTAAGTACCTCAGTGAACGCTCTGACTCGCGTGGTAGCTGCTTTATATTTAATAAAGAATTGAGATGATGGTTAATTAATATGTCATTATTATCGTAACGATTGCAAAGCAACTTCCATGCTTCACTGTAATTCTTAGATGAGATCTCAAGATTAGAAAGGACTCGAGCTGCATCGCCTTGCAAATATGAGTTTAAATAATAATATTTGTTAATATCCGGAATACGGTCATTATTGTGTATTAGACTTTCAAATGTATCTTTAAATTCAAGCCAGCGGAAATGATCGCCATTAAATCGTTGAATTTGGATTTGCGGAAGCTTTAAACCTGAACTAGGATGATCCTCAGAACAGCAAGTAGTATTATGAATGGAATGACGTCTTAATTCGAGTTCAGCCTTTCTAGAAAACTTTGATATTAAATTCTTAGCAGTAGCTATATTAATCACTATATCCTGTTCAATATTATCACGTTCGTCAATTTCAGCATCAATGTTACTAGGGTCCAGAACCTCTATTTCACTCTGCAAATCGTCAACCCTGACTGATAAGGCTTCAAACTTAGCAAGCTTTATGTTCAACTCTGTTAATTGAATTTCATTTAATTCACTTTCGCATGAAATACTACTGAGGTAATTTTTAAATTTTGTAATTTGTCCTTTGGCGGACGCCCTCTTCGTAAATAGTTCTTTAAAACGCCTATTTTCAGCCATAGCAAAAAAATTGAGATTGATTACGTAATAAATGGAATGGGCTCACGTTCCTCGTTTCGGTGTCACCTGATAAGCAGAGAAGCTGGCTGAGCACGCCCAGCCGCTAACGCTGCCAGTGGGAGGACTTTGACCCCGCAACTGGACCACGCGGTCTGTGTTGTGGCACTCGCAGGTGGATCTGAAATAGTCGGCAAATCTCGCTTAAATTTGAATAAAAACTAATACTGTTTTAATTGTTTCTATTTATTTTTATAAACGGAACGACAAAGATAAAATAAATGTAATGAATTTATGAATTTTATATTTTTACTTTAGTCAAGGAATATATATTATTTCGAGACGGTAGAATATAAATTAAATGGATTATTCGAATCGTTTCAATCGATCTGATGCAACTTCTATAAGAATTTATTTTCATTGACGGTACATGGAAAAAATATATCGGGTTAATTTCGCAATTAACGGAATAGTTTGAAGTTTTTGATATTTAATTTACTTGAATATACTTTGATTCACACAAATGGAATGCAATAGTCAATATTCAAATAGGTACCTAGATAATAGGAAGGATAGACAAAGGATGGACACTCAACTTTGGTACGACACGTTGACGCTCCACACGAGGTGATGCTTTAGCGGC